GAATTGAGACAACACAGTTTAGTGACTATATTGAAACAGAGAAAAAAGAGTGCATTTCTCATAAAACAAGACAGCATCAAAGCTATAGGAGCATTGCAGAGAGGAAATGATTGAGAGCTGGTTAGATTTAAACAGGAGAGAATAACAAGGGATTGCATGGAGTTGTGATAACAGGATGATAGGGAGTTTGTGGCAGGTTGAGACTGCAGAAAGGGAACATCTAACGTGAAATTTGGCAAGCAGATGTACAAGAATCACCACAGACCCATCTGAGAGGCATCTATGTCTTTTCAACAGTTAATCTGGAGCATGATGGCCAATGACAACAAAGATGGGGAACTGAAAATGTAGGAAAATACTACCTACTAGCTCATTTTACTGTGTTAGAATTGGCAGAAGCCCAAAGCTGGTTGTGCTGTAAGACACGATGAAGTATGAAAAATTCTGTCAGGCATTGTGGATACAACAAGACTGAGGACAACTGGGACTACAGTCCTGATTTAATGAATCTAGTATGTAGAAAGAAAGAGCCAGGCAAAAGTGAGATGGGAACCCACTTTATGTGGTACACCAGAGACAACAGAATGTCCAGAAGTTGCTTCTGTATGGGAAAGAAAATAGTTATGAAAACATCAATTATTAAGAAAGCTGTTTAGGAAATTCATAAGCAAGAATGTGTTTGAACCCCAATGATCATTAGCAGCTGGATTTTTCTCAGCCAATTTTGCTCACCATAGAATTATTTGAAAATCTTCAAATAGCTACCCTAGCCCTCTCTCATGTCAATGGTAACAATGGATATCCTAAGATACCTATTAGAGATCCAACCTATCCAAAAACTTCTCTATTTTGGTATCTTGAGTTTTCCACTGGACATGCATATGTCTTCCTTGTCTATGTCTATGCAGGAAATCCAGTTAACTAGCTTACACCAGATACCTAACTCCTTATGACTAAGTTAAGCAAGGTGCACACTTTCCTAAATTTTATAAGATGGCAGTTCATGCTTCAAGTTCAGCTGTGCTGGCGTTAAGGTTTTGTTGTTAGTGATATGAAAGAACACCTTGAAACAAATTTCTCAAATCTGATAACGAATGACAATGCAAACAAATTTTTACAACAAATTCATCTTTTCTCATAAACAATGCACCCTTAGCCATGAAACCTATATTTTGACAAAATTCCTCTTGAGAAGCATGGAGGACATACAGAAATTAAACTTATCAGATAGTCTTCTATTATGGGACATGAAGAGCTTATAAAGCAAGAAGCATAAAATTAGAGAATTTTATTATTTCTTTTTCAAGAAAGAAGACTACAAGTAGAAAACAATGGATTTACACCAAATTTTTGAAATATTTTAGCAGCCAGCAAGGAAATATGGTGAATAATGGTAAAGTGGCATCTGCAGGAAGAACACATGAATTTCTTCAGTTAGTACAGAATACCATGAAAAACTTACAAATCCTGTTTGGAGCATGCCAGGAGAGCATTTTGACAGGTAGGGGATCAGTGCAAAGTGATTCGCATCAAAAGGAACCATTTTAGTGATACACATGAAAATAATCAGGGAAGCAAAGATATATAATGATGGATACATCTGCTCATTAAGTAAAACTGTTCCATGAACAGAGATAGAAAAAAGCAAGAAGTAAGGCTGTACTGAGATAACAAAAGAAAATAATGCTGAAAATAATATCATGTTAGGTAAAACAGGGATGCATCCTCCCTGTGACCATGGCATTCAGTTCTGATCAAAAAATCTTGAAGAGTGTGGAAATGGCTAAGCAAAAATTATTAAAGGCAAAAACCCCCTTGTTTATGAACAGAGATAAAAAGGATACTGAATAAAACAGGAGTGCAAGCAACTGCCTGCTTTAGAAAGCCATTGCAATTTCTAGGAGAATTCTTGGTGCTCCTTAGATTAGCAAAATGTTGGAAATAGTAAAATATCTGAAGTTTTACCTACTTGGTGTAATTTGAAGAGGAACGATACCTACTGTGGGTAGTTTAAAGAACATAAATCAAACCCATCTATTTATACTTAAATACAGAAAGAATAGGACTACATCAGACTTGCTAGTGTACATTGAAAAGCAACCTATTTACAGTGCAGAAAAAGAAGCACTGCTTTACACTGCATGTGAGTATTCTATGAACTCATTTCCATTAGGAGACATTCTGGTTTTAGTCTGTCAAGTCTGAAAAAGTTGTATGAATAAATAACACATATAGTCTACCTAAGTAAAGCTGACTAACAATATCTGAGGCATTTAAGTCTTCAGTCATCAGGGAAAAGGTAAGTACTAGCATGCATTACTTAGCAACTGGAACAGTTTACAAAGGCTCAATTATTGTGACTCAGCTAACAAGCTGCAGCTCAGTACCATTGCTCTTTTTCTCCTTCAGTATCTAAGATTCCATGGAAGTGACAAGTTGAAAGCTAAACTAGGACTATCTGTAACTAGAACATTTTTACTACATTATTTATTTCCTGCATTTATTTCTTCAAGACATGCTAAAAACTTTCCCCAAACTTGTGTTGTAATCTTTCCCCTTGCTGAAGCTTCCTTCATCAAGTTAGAAGACACCAAATACTGTGTGACACTGTTTTCAAAAATATTTTGAATTCCTGCTGAGCCCTCTGATTTGAAGCACTCACTGAGTTCTTTTGAAAATGATACTTTAAACCTTATGACTTAATATGCTATCATTGGCCAAACACTACAGTTAGTCTAAATCTCTACACAGGCAAAAAAATAAACCCAGGATCTCCTTAAACTTCGAGCAAATCTATTCACTTTCCAAATGATACAACAGTTTGTATAGTACCAGCTCAATTGTTTTTCACTGTCCATCAGCATTATTTCTATGAGGAATCTAGCTCTCATGCACCTTTTGTGCTCCCACTGAAATTCATGACAAAATTTTCTCTGACTTCTTTCAGTAAAACCAGAAGAGCCAGTAGAGGGAGCACAAATACATTGAAATAATTTTCTGTGGTTCCTATAAAAACAATAACCTAAACTGATATATTTTTTCATATAGTATTTACACTACATTTTTTTCCCTCCCTGATCAAAAATACTGTCTTGATTAGACTTCAAGAAAAGCTGATTCAAGGTTAGGAGAATGTGTTGTTTGGTGGCCCTTCTTGCAACCCCTGGCACCTCAGGACTCCATGTGAAAAAGAGGCAGGGGCTGAACCCTGTGAAAACAATATTGGCAAAATAATGTTTTCTACCTCCATAGCACTGCTGGGCAGATCAGCTTAATGGGGATCATCTTTGGCTCTGGGACATAATCTGTTCTCTGCTGACTGATATTTTTGCCAGCTGATCCCTGCACATGAGCACACAGGTTGGGCAAACAAGTACAGTACAGTATGATGTGGCTAAACAGCGCTCTCTGCTTTGCACCCCTGCTCATTCAGGAAGCTTCAGCTTTCACAGTTCATCCCTTTATGTGAGCCCAGTGCCACGAGCTGTGCAGAAAATGTTACACCTCTGTATCGTCTCTGCCCACTGACACTACTGGCAGACATTGCCTGGAGAAAGTTGCTTTGCTGCAGAACTCAGAAGGTGAGCTGCCCTGCATGTGAGAATGTCTCAGGCAATAATACACGTCCTTTATCCTCCTATTTACACTTAAATTTCATAAGTCTCAAATGGGATCTCAGGATTGCTATGATTTTTGAGTGCTTCCCCCATAACAGAGGAAAAGATCTAATCCCTTCAGGGGACTGGCTCAAAAACACCCATCCCACGCATCCCCAGGAAACCAAATGTGAACTGCTGAGTTTCATATTTCATTGTCAGGCTTTCCTGTGGTGGAGAACATGGAGCCTGCCCTCAGATCCATTCAGCTTTGTTTGAAACCATGTTTATGTAACCATTGCAAAAGCATTTGCCAGTAGTGCAAGTACACTCCCCTTAAAGAAAACAGAGTTAGATAAATGATAAGTGCTTTGAAAAATGCCCATGCTACATACTACAGAGGATAGGATGGGGAAAAAGCAGGTAACCAATGGGATGTAAAATGTTTTCAGAACAAACAAAAAAGTGACGTTAGAGATCCATAGGTTCTCTACTCCTAAATTTGGAAAAAAAAAAAGAAAAGAATAAATCATCAGTTTGGAATTCAGGTGGCCTGGGATACTCAGCAGCATACAAGAAGCTGCTCCCTGTGCCTAGAGGTGTCAGCAGGAATGGCAAACAAACACGACCAGCAGTAGGAATGCTAAGCGGAATATTTAAGTGAGGGACATTTTTGTAAGTACCTCTTTGGTAATCACATTTGATGTGTTTTCTGTCCTCAATTTCCCCTCTTTCTGAGATAAAAGATAGGACTACAATTCCTTGCTCTACAGATGTAGGCAAAACTAATGGATTTGACTCTAGAGTGCTATAAGAAGAGCTACAGAAGTGTTTTTGGACTTCAGTGTGGTCACTGGATCCATCCTTAAGTCTGTCAACTACCTGCAACCTTACACTGAGTAATAATTTCTACAGAATACTTTCTGTCTATGCAATTATACATAACTATATCTGATTTTACAGTGAGGAAATCTAATAAGATTTTATATTTTCCCTTGTTTTCCCTGCATGTTCCAAATAACTTCAAGCCCCAATCTACTAGGTCACCACTAACTAAGGAACTGAACTTTATAGGCCAGATGAGCCAGATGGATCTCCTCTGTCTCATATTCCTACTGCATTTTCATTGCAGAAAACATCTCAGTTGGTCCTATACTGACCTTGAAAAGAAAAGAAAAAGAATAAATAGATAATTCTTGAATGTATAAATAAATTATATAATAGGACATTATTAATTACTACATATACAGTATGCAGTAATGCACTATGCAGGACAGAATTAATTTTTTTTATTAAAGATGTTAAAGAAGTGGGAGTTTTTAGAGAGGCCATGAGAGTGTCCATGAGGAGCAGAAAATTTGTGTGTGTCTGTTTTGATAATCATTCAGGCGACAGACAATTTACCTGCTGGCCTGGTTTGAGCGGCGATAGTGTTATTCCCTGGGTATTGATCACTGGGAGTATCTGGTTGCCGATGACAGTGGCGATGATCTGACCCTGGGCATTGGTCAATAACTGTGGAGTTATCGGTTGCACCTGAAGTCCCTGAGCTCCACCTGCCGCCTGGCTGGACGGGACTGGATTAGGCATCAGTGGGATTGTTCCAATAATCTGGAAGAAACAACACAGGGAGAATGTACGCATGCCACATATACTTGCCACACGTAATTCCTTATATTCTTCATGTTGAATCAAACTCAGGTGATAAAAGCACAGAGAGACTGGTAAGACAGGCTGAGGGTGGGAAACAGTCATTCCTTCACTGGGGTGATGAGGACTTTCCAATTCATTTGTCACATCACATATCACCTATACATTTTACCACTGTCCACTGTCACCTGCAGCAAATCTGCTGTGGTTTAAGAGTGTATAAAACAAATTGTGGGCCACACTCTGGGCCTTGGATTATGGTTTCTTTCCACTATTAATTTTAACACAGAGTGAGATAGATAAAAGTATCAGTCTTTTTGTCTTGCTTTCTACATCATCCATTTAATGGGTTACTAGTGGGGCTTATGTAATTTTACTTGATTTTCCAATACCTGGCACTCTAGATGACCACCTTTTACTCCCATGTGATCTCAGGAAGACACAAAGGGATACTGGTACCTTTCACGGCATGCCTTATTAAGATACGTTCATAAAAATGCAGCTGGTTTTGGATGACAGCTATGAAGTACAACACAACAGGAGAGCTGATGTTAGATAAAATATATTAGCTAACATTTCTGGGGCAAGTAGTTGCAGAAAGAGACACTTGTGACATCTCAGACTTGAGAATACAGTGATTTCCTAAAATGTGAATGTGCCTGTAAAAGTAATATTAGGATGAGATGTCAAACAGATGTCGTAAGAAAGCTTGTCAGTCAATAAGCTGCTAGGCTGGAAAAAGTTATGCTGTTGCAAGATTCTTTTTACAGGTATTAGAGAATCTGAAATGAACTTCTGATGAAACTTGGGCATAAACCCAAACTTTTTCTTTTATTTTCCAAACAGCAACCTACGAAGCTGGAGTCATAGGATTGTTGGAACAGGAAAAATAAAAAAAAGCACATCACATCTCTATTTCCTTCATCTTCTCCTCTCTCTTAATCATAGCCTCGCTGAAAACACCTACTCCATCCTAAGACTTCCAGTCTGCCCTTTACAGAAAACTGGCTTCTTCCTCTTTATCCTCAGCATTCACAACACTACGTTGTCCATTTTGACTCCCACTAGTACAATTCCATTTTTTTCCTCAGTGGAGATAGAAATATTGTAGTTTTCCACAGTCTGTCTGCTGGTTCTCATTCCACTTGGGGGCTTAGTTATCTTTTTAGATCTCTTTGTTTCTGACAAATTTTATAGAAATTAATCAGCTGATTCACAAACCGTTAAGTAGGTATGGAGAGCTGAATGGATGGAAAGAGAAAGAGATGTATACATAGCACTAGACACAGAGAAGCTTTCTCATGAAAATAGGCTGAAGTATTCCTAATGAAACTCAAAAGCAAGTTTATTCCCCAAACAAATGTATAAAACAAAACATGTAACATTCTTACTAATTTCAACAATTAATTTATATATTATATTAATGGAACCCATCCAATACAGTGTAAAATTAGGTCTAAAATAACTGTTTAGTGAAAACATCAGTTAGCTTTTTGGGCAGACCACTAAGTTGCTTTATGAGAGTGCAAAAGTAAACACCACTGAATCTCTTGCTGTGGATATAAAATGAATACAGGTGTGAAATGCATGGTAAAGAGTAACAAAGATATGTGAAGACCTCTGCCTACTGAAATCACCAGAGGTGACATACAACAACCCCAAAAAATCCATTCTTAAAAAAGCACCATGCAAAGATATCCAAGTAATTCAGGCATAGCTGGAGGGACAGGTGGCTGTCATCACTCTCTCCCATTATTAGGCTAAGATATGACTCCACTGAGTGACAGGCTCCTAATGAGTGACTGTTCCTTCAGCAGTCACACCCAGTGATGTGCCTCTAGGTAGGCTCAACCATGAAGTACCAGGTGACAACCTACACTGACACCTGGAGCAAGAAGAGTGCACTGTTGGCTATGGCAGCTCAGGAAACAAGCAGTAGTTGTCATCAATTTACCAAACTTGCCCAGTTAGAAGGCCTTAGCATGGGAAGACCAGAAAACCATAAAGTAAAGCAGGACAGCTCTCCTGTGGGAGAATCTGATAAAATGGCAAGCCCAGCTACTAAGCTGTATTGTAAGAGCTGCATATATCAAGACTGTTGAAAAGACTGTAAAGATACAATTTAAGTTCTTAATGCATTGCTAAAAGGTAGACAGATCAATAAAGATTATTACCCCCATTTTATGGAGCATGAAAGTGAAGCACGGTGAAGCATATTCAGAGTCAGCCTTCTAAGCTGAAATTTCCTGAGAGTTTCTCTTTTCAGATCACAATGCTTTTATTATTTTATTTTATTTTATTTTATTTTATTTTATTTTATTTTATTTTATTTTATTTTATTTTATTTTATTATGTCCCTAGCTGAAAGGCAACTGCTTTCCTGTTCATGTGAGAAGATGGCTATTTTCACTGAGGGGAGAGGCATTTATTTACATCATTATCAGATTTCAAATTGTTTTCTAAAATCAGACTTTCAGCATGAATGAAATACAACTGCAGTGCAGTGCAACACATAAATATCTCCCCATTTTTGTGACCTAACATATTTATGAGTAACAAATATATTCTTTCACTTTTAATATAATCTCACCAAACACAAGAAATAATCCTTCTTAATTTTATCAGCAGAGACATATCAAAGGCCTCCCCTTCCTTTGCCATGTCTGTAAAGGACGCAACCTTGGACTGTCATTACTCCAATGTAACTTTAACTATCAAGGTCCTAATCCCAGCAAAGCAAAAAATGCTGTGTTGGTGTTATCAGTAATAGAAATGTTTGCATTCACATTTAAAATGCATTTCTTGGACTACAGTTGGACATTTCATAGAATGACAATGCTGAAGTGGACAGTTTGTAAGGTCAGAAGCAGAAGGCTATCTATATGTATTAATGTGTGTCACACACCATACTGTACATGGCATGCTGTCCATGCACACAGACAGAAATGGAGCAGGAAAAACACAGATGGAAGAAGTGTTTCAGAAGGGAAAATGAGCAAATGTCCTCAGGGGTGTTACCATAGGACCCAAGGGTAAATCTTAATTGAAAACAGAAACTTACTGAGGTTTAAGAAGATTTTATTTCTTTTTTTACCAAAGTAAATTCTTGTCGGGTTAAGAAAAAGATATCCACTTGTCTCTACTTAAACAACAGGGCTACTCATTATTGCATGCAGCTTTGAGATGACTAAAACTGGATTCAGGTTTCCCCTTTCCAGTTTTCCCTTGTCCAAATACCCTCTCCTAAATATCCTAATTGCTCACTGATTCACACATAAGGAGTACTACAACTGGATCTCTTCCTTAAACCTTGTGTGACTGACGTGACGCTGAACCACATCCCTCTTCCCTCTAATTTTGGTATGAAATTTCACCCTGGGCCTTGCTAATCTGTCCTCTTAAATTATTGTACAAGTTGAAGACAATTTATGGTTTTGATACATTTGAATTTTGTCAAGAAATAAAGCAAGGCAATGCCACAGGCTTGAAGCACTGGCGTGCCACAGTACAGACTATTTAATTGCCAGTGATTTCCCTAGTCAGGAGGCATTGCTCCTTTCTAGGAAATGCTGCTACTTCAGATTATATTCAAAGATGGTTCAGGAATAACATGTGACAGGGACTGATCCCAAAAGATACTTACAGAGTCACACTGAATGGTTTGAGTTGGAAAGGGCCTCTTAAAGACCATCTAGTTTAATTCCCCAGCCATGGGCAGTGATGTATTTCACTAGACCACTTTGCTCTAAGCCCCATCCAACACTTCCACAGTGAGAACACATTCCACAATGCTATGTCTTCTCTGAGACAAAGGCTTCTTACTCTGGAAATGCTTGGACTCAAATTCTTAAACAATCCTGCTTGTCAAAGATATTCTTGAAGAAAAAAATCCCACATCCCTAAAAGTTCTCATTCTACAAAAGTATAATTTTGTATGTTTTGAGAATTTTTTGCACGTCTTTTACAGTTCCTTTTATACATCATACAACTGAAAGCAAGCACTCTTCACAAAGGAGCTGCAAAACAGGTGTCATGTGCCAAACAGCAGTAAGACAGTTTTGAAAGCCCAAGAGTTAATTCAAGGGATCCCCTTATCATTACTTCTCTAAGGGAGTTAGGCACAGTAATCTGCATAGAACTGTTGATTAAAATAAATTACACCAGATTGTATTTTTATGAGGTACAGGTTCCTCATATAGGTACAAAATGCAGTGCAGGTACTGAGAAACTGTACTGAGATATTTAATGTAAATTCAGACTTCAACTTCTTTTATAGAGAAAGGGGTTTTGTCCTCCTTTACTAATCACAGAGACTGCAATTCTGGCCCTCTTCAAGCAACAGAGCGTTGCCAGAATCCTTGGTGGAGTCAGATTATCACTTCAAGTATTCAGTATGTTTCTTTCCTTTTTGTTCATGGATTAATAGATACATCAATTGTATCAAGCTGCTTAGACAAGACTTTTTGCAGAAATTAATTTATTATTTTTCTGCTTCCCAATATTAGCTAAATTTTAAAAGTCAGTTGTTTGTTTCTAATTTTAAAAGAAATCTGGGGTGATTTTTAACAGTATCTGAATATTTTCTACTGATTAATCTATCAGTGTGATTTTAGCACCCTAGGATTTCAAGAGATCTGACATTGGATCTCTCAGATCTTACAACTTGAACCTACCATTGTCAAGATGACTTCTGCAATAAAATTGTAGGCCTTGGCTTGCACATGAAATTAATTTGTCAGCCTGCACCTTCATACCAGGTGTGGGCCTGATGGTCTTTGCCTACATAGTCCTGCAAACAGCAATGAAAGAATAGCACACATTTAAAGTGAAGGTGAAATCCCAAGTAATGGAGCTGACCATGGAGGGGAAAAATCCCTAATCCTCAGTATAGCAATAATTTCTCTGAATATTACCCCCCATGGCAGGGTAATGTCCTAACACTACTTAACTCAAGCCAACAC